CTTCCTTCCTTCCTTCCTTCCTCCCTTCCTCCCTCCCTTTCCTCCCTTTCCTCCCTTTCCTCCCTTCCCCTTATCTGCATGTCACCTATCTATCCCAGTGACATCACAGAGTGGCCACTTCACCTAGCAACAGTCACTCCGTCATCTAGCTACAGTCAATCCAGTGACATCACAGTGGCCACTTCACCTACTGACAGTGACTCCTTCTAGCAGCAGGTTAATCTAGTTGACACCACAGTGGCCACTTCACCCAGCAAGAGTCACTCCATCACCTAGCAACAGTTAATCCAGTGACATCACAGTGGCCACTTCACCTACTGACAGTGACTCCTTCACCCAGCAGCAGTTAATCTAGTTGACACCACAGTGGCCACTTCACCTAGCAACAGTAAATTAAGTGACATCACAGAGTGGCCACTTCACCTAGCGACAGCCACTCCATCACCTAGCAACAGTCAATCCAGTGACATGACAGTGGCCACTTCACCTAGGGACAGCCACTCCTTCACCTAGCAACAGTCAATCAAGTCACATCAAAGAGGGCCACTTCACCTAGTGACAGCCACTCTTTCACCTAGCAGCAGTCAATCTAGTGCCATCACAGAGTGGCTACTTCACCTAGCAACAGCCACTTCTTCACGTAACAACAGTCAATCCAGGGCCTTCAGGGTGACCACTTCACCTATCAACAGTCACTCCTTCACCTAGCAACAGTCAATTCAGTGACGTCACAGAGTGGCCACTTCACCTAGTGACAGTCACTCCTTCACCTAGCAACAATCAATCCAGTGACATCACAGTGGCCACTTCACCTCCCGACAGCCACTCCTTCACCTAGCAGCAGTCAATCAAGTCACATCAAAGAGGGCCACTTCACCTAATGACAGCCACTCCTTCACCTAGCAGCAGTCAATCCAGTGACATTCACAGAGTGGCCACTTTACCTAGCAACAGCCATTTCTTCACGTAACAACAGTCAATCCAGTACTATCAGAGTGACCACTTCACCAAACGACAGTCACTCCTTCACCTATCAGCAGTCAATCCAGTGACATTCACAGAGTGGCCACTTCACCTAGAAACAGCCACTTCTTCACGTAACAACAGTCAATCCAGGGCCATCAGGGTGACCACTTCACCAAATGACAGTCACTCCTTCACCTATCAACAGCCAATCCAGTGACATCACAGAGTGGTCACTTCACCTAGAGACAGCCACTCCAACACCTAGCAACCGTCAATCCAGTGACGTCACAGAGTGGCCACTTCACCTAGCATCAGCCACTCTGACACCTAGCTACAGTCAATCCAGTGACATCACAGTGGCCACTTCACCTACTGACAGTGATTCCTTCTAGCAGCAGGTTAATCTAGTTGACAACACAATGGACACTTCACCTAGCAACAGTCACTCCATCACGTAGCAACAGTCAATCCAGTGACATCACAGTGGACACTTTACCTAGGGACAGCCACTCCTTCACCTAGCAGCAGTCAATCTAGTGCCATCACAGAGGGCCACTTCACCTAATGACAGCCACTCCTTCACCTAGCAGCAGTTAATCCATTGACATTCACAGAGTGGCTACTTCACCTAGCAACAACCATTCTTCACATAACAACAGTCAATCCAGTACCATCAGAGTGACCACTTCACCAAAAGACAGTCACTCCTTCACCTATCACAATCAATCCAGTGACATTCACAGAGTGGCCACTTCACCTAGAAACAGCCACTTCTTCACGTAACAACAGTCAATCCAGGGCCATCAGGGTGACCACTTCACCAAATGACAGTCACTCCTTCACCTATCAACAGTCAATCCAGTGACATCACAGAGTGGTCACTTCACCTAGCGACAGCCACTCCAACACCTAGCAACCGTCAATCCAGTGACGTCACAGAGTGGCCACTTCACCTAGCATCAGCCACTCCGACACCTAGCTACAGTCAATCCAGTGACATGACAGAAGGCCACTTCACCTAGCAACAGCCTTTGTGCTACAAACAGACAAGCAAACAAACATACGTGTGTGTGTGATAATGATCATAATATCATTATTATTTATGTTATATATTGCTCTATAGAGAGAGAGAGAAAGAAAGGGATGGAGGGAAGGGGGATATTCTATATGTTCTATATATGTTCTATATATGTTCTATATATGTTCTATTCTATTCTATTCTATTCTATATATTTTGGATGTGCATGTACTACTTTTGTGATTCCTTTGCATTGAGCTATAGCATCTAAAGTGGTATCAAACTGCATTAACTCTACAGTGTGGACTCATTCCTAGTTGGCCTTGGCTTTCAGTTGGCATATATCGTATTTCACCCCCGAAAGGAGAATACTCCCGAAGCCGGCTAATTGCACCTTTCCTGCTGCGAGGCAAAACTCTGATAAATAAAATATTGGAAGGAACCATGGGATGGATATATATATATATATATATAATTTCTGAGAGGCGCCTGGAGATAATTGCCTTGACTCCGCAGTCCCAAAAAATGCCATTTGTCACTGTTTGGGCCTTCAATTATTTCCCTGTAACTACATTTGCATGGCGAAGTTGAGTAATTGGCCAATTAGCATCCGGTTGAAAGGGGGATGGATCACCAACTGCAATGTGGGATTAAACTGCATTAAGTCTACAGTGTAGATGCACCCATAGTCCACCAAAAAGCTCTAATCCAACAGATATGGGCAGGTTTCCAATTCTAGCTGCATTGGCTGAATTCCTGTCCCTCTCAGACATATTTCTGCTCTCTTCCTCACATTTTCGTCAATTATGTTTTTTTAATGGCCAATTAATTAAATTAATTAGTGATGACATACGTCGGGGTGTGAGTAAACACGAATGCAAATTTGCCCGCTGTCCAGATAAATGCTCCGAGAGCTTGTCTTCTGCTATTTTCTGTGTGCAGAGAAATCTCCCATTGGGCCGGCATCTACACTGTAGCATTAATGCAGTTTGACACCGCTTTAAATGCTCTGGGATCCTGGGAGTTGTAGTTTGACACGGTTTTTATCTTCTACCAATGGTGGTTGGTGCCTCACCAAACGATTATTATATTTATGACAGTCCGGAAAACTCACAGCAATCCAGTGATATTTATTTGTTCCCATTTCCCTCTCTGGATCGAGACCTTGGCAAACTACAACTCCCATGGTCTGGCAAAGGCCAGGCCATTGGGGCAACTGATCCGTGTCGATTATTATATTTATGACAGTCCAGAAAACTCACAGCAACCCAATGATGTTTATTTGTTCCCAGCCTCCTTCTCTCGATCGAGACCTTGGCAAACTACAACTCCCATGGTCTGACAAAGGCCAGCCCATTGGGGCAACCGATCCATGTCAGATTTTAGTCAATGGTTTTAAAAGTTCTATGCATTGTATTGAATCGTATCCCTCCCAATAGATTCAGCACCATGGAAAGCTCCCCTAATGTTCAAACTATACAGAACTACAACTTCCAGGATTCCATAGCATTGAGCCATGGCAGGTAAAGTGTATTGATTTCTACAATATAGAAACTTAGCCAAACTTTGCCGAAAAGTAGGCAAAGTTATGAATGCGGAAACCCTCCCAATAGGTTCAACACCATGGAAAACTCCCCTAATGTTCAAACTATGCAGAACTACAACTCCCAGGACTCCATAGCATTGAGCCATGGCAGGTAAAGTGTATTGATTTCTTCAGTATAGAAACTTAGCCAAACTTTGCCAAAAAGTAGGCAAAGTTATGAATGCGGAAACCCTCCCAATAGGTTCAGCACCATGGAAAGCTCCCCTAATGTTCAAACTCTGCAAAACTACAACTCCCAGGACTCCATAGCATTGAGCCATGGCAGTTAAAGTGTATTGATTTCTACAGTATAGAAATTTAGCCAACCGAGAAATTGGGAAGACAGAGGATTAATTATCATAATAATAATAATAATAATAATAATAATAATAATAATAATAATAATAATATCAAAATAATAATATCAAAATAATAATATCAAAATAATAATAATAATAATAATAATAATAATAATAATAATAATAATAATAATAATAATAATAATAATAGTGTTCGACTTGTGATTTTGTAATACGAAATCCAGCATATAGATCTCATTTGCTGTGACATACTGTGCTTTTGTGTCAACAACAACAACAACAACAACAACAACAACAATAATAATAGTGTTCGACTTGGGATTTTGTGATACGAAATCCAGCATATAGGTCTCGTTTGCTGTGACATACTGTGCTTTTGTGACAACAACAACAACAACAATAATAATAATAATAATAATAGTGTTCGACTTAGGATTTTGTGATACGAAATCCAGCATATAGGTCTCGTTTGCTGTGACATACTGTGCTTTTGTGTCAATAATAATAATAATAATAATAATAATAATAATAATAATAATAATAATAGTGTTCGACTTGGGATTTTGTAATACGAAATCCAGCATTGTGTGATCCAATACAACAGCCAGCAGAGTGATCTTGTCTGCTGTGGACTCATCTTGCTGTGCTTCAAATAATAATAATAATAATAATAATAATAATAATAATCCCAAATATTTGTTATTATTAGCTTCTTCCTTGGAGGCTTTTAAACAGAAGATGGATGGCCATCTGTTGGGGGTGTTTTGATTGTGCCTTTCCTGCATGAAGTCAGAATGGGATTGGACTGGATGTTCCATGGGGTCTCTAGTAATAATAATCAATAACCAATAATCAATAATCAATAATGATAATACAATTCCAAAACAAGGCAATCAAAATAATCCAAGAGAGAACGGTTTCAGGTGGATGGCCATCTGTTGGGGGTGTTTTGATTGTGCCTTTCCTGCATGAAGGCAGAATGGGGTTGGACTGGATGGTCCATGGGATCTCTAGTAATAATAATCAATAATCAATAACCAATAATCAATAATGATAATATAATTCCAAAACAAGGCAATCAAAACAAATCCAAGGGGGAAAGGTTTCCTACCTGCAATCATGTTTCCAAGAAGGCTTTTGGTGCTTTTCTCCGATCCAAGGCTCGGTCTCTTGGAGATGTGGGTTCTGCCTTTGCTGGTCTGGGGACCTCATTTTTATATACTCTTCGCTGCTTTCCATTTGTAATGTAATGAAAATTAAAATCTGGGCCCAGCTCATGTTGATGCCAAGGAGCAGGATTCCCCCACGTGAGGTTTGGAAAGCAAAGCAGCGAAAAGGAAAACCGTGCAGGTAAAGGGAGTCCAGGTGGCAGCCAGGAGAAATTCCTGATGATGAAACAGCTCAGGTGAGGTCATGAGCGCAATTCGAAACTATGCCCCGGGACAGAGGAGGTGTGTCCAGCCAAGCGGGTGCACCTTCCGTACATTTGTGGCACAAAGAGCACAACACGGGCACCCTCTGCTCTTGCATGCACCCTTCTTGGGGTTCCACAATGACTCTGTCTAGGGACTCTTGTCTCCTTTTTCTCCCCCTCCTGAGGCTGGAGGGGAGCGTCACTGGTTTGCGGCCTAGACTCAGCGAAAGTTGTGGCTTTTGTTTAGTTTTGTGTTCTTGTTTTCGTTCTCGTAGGATCAAGACTGAAGAGTTCCTTTGCAGGCCAAGGTCAAAAAGGAGGAAGGTGGAAATCTCGGGGAGGAAGAACCAAACAGGTTGGAAGTCTTTCTCTTTTTTTTCTGTTTTCATTTATTCAACTTGTTCTCAGACTGGATGGGATTGTAGTGTAGTTTTCATTCTTGTGCCTCCCTCTTTGTCTTCCTTCCTTCCTTCCTTCCTTCCTTGGCTCCTTCCTTCCTTCCTTCGCCTGCCTGCCTTCCTTCCTGGTCTCCTTCCTACCTTGTCTCTTTTGTTCTTTACTTGTTTCCTTCGTTCCTACTTTGTCTCTTTCCTTCTTTCCTTGACTCCCTCCTTCCTTCTCTCCTTCCTTCCTCCAGCTCTCCCTCTCCTCCTTCTTTCTCTCCCTCCCTCCCTCCCTCCCTTCCTTGCTTCCTTCTTTCTCTCCTTCTCCTTCCTTCCTTGTCTCCTTCCTTTTTCCTCTCCTTCCTTCCTTTCTCTCCTTCCTCTCTTCCTTCTTCTTCTCTCCCTTCCTTCCTCCTTCCTTCTTCCTTTCCTTTTGCCTTTCCTTCCCTCCTTCCTTCCCTCTATACCTCTTACTCCTTCCATCATTCCTCCTTTTCTTCTTCCTTCTTTTTCTCTTTCCTTCCTTCCTCCTTCCTTCCCTTCCTTCCTTCCTTCCTTCCTTCCTTCCTTCCTTCCTTCCTTCCTTCCCTCCTTCCCTCCTTCCCTTCCCTTCCCTTCCCTCCCTTCCCTCCCTTCCCTTCCCATTCATAAAATAATGCCATTAGAGGGGACTTTTCTGACCATCTAGTCCAAAACAGAAATCCACTCCCCTTCCTTTGTTTTCTTTTCTCCTTCCATTCCTTCCTTTGTTTTTCTCTCTCCCTCTTCTCTCTTCCTTTCCCCTTCCTGCCTGCCTGCTTTCTTTCTTTCTTTCTTTCTTTTTTCTTTCTTTCTTTCTTTCTTACTTACTTATTCTTCTCTTCTTTCTCTCCTCCCTTCCCTTCTCCTCCCTCCTTTCTTCCTTCCTTCTTCTTCTTTTTCCCTCCTTCCTTTTTTCTTTCTTCTTTCTTTGTCCTTTCTCTTTCCCTTTCTTCTCTCCTCCCTCCCTCATCTTCCTTCCCTTCCTTTCTTACTTCCCTTCCTTCTTTCCTTTCTTTCTTTCTTTCTTTCTTTCTTTCTTTTTTTCTTTCTTTCTTTCTTTCTCCTCCTCCCTCCTTTTCCTTCCTTCCTTTTTCTTTTTTCCCTTCTTCCCTTTCTTTCTTTCTTTTTCCTCCTTCCTTCCTTCCTTCTTCCTTCCTTCCTTCTTTCTTTCTTCTTTCTTTCTTTCTTTTCTTTCTTCTTTTTCCTCCTTCCCTTTCTTCCTTCCTTCCTTCCACTCCCTCCCACTCTCCTCTTTCTTCCAGTTTAATTAATTTTTCTCATGCTCTTATGATAGAACCAATTAGGAAATTACATTTATAACCCAAGAACCAGCCATGTAGTGGGGGGGGGGCTTGAGGGGCTTCAGCCCCCCCCCCCGAAATTCTCATGGTGGTCCATGAAAAGGCCTTACTGGTGCATTATTTAAACTATTATGTTTATTCATATCATGATCTGATCACCATACTCAATATATCCCATATGCATGGGGGTATTGGGGTAATGATACAAAAGGTTTGCTAGGGTAGATCCTCAGCCTCCCCACTTTAAATCAAACTCAGCCCCCCCCCCCCAAATCAAAATCCTGACTACGGGCCTGCCAGGAAGAGAAATTGTGTTACGTAGTGTAATGTCTATGAAATAACGACAACAATATGCTGGTGAAATAATAATAGTAATAATAATATGGTGGGAATAATATGAATAACAATGCCATCTGAACATTAGGAAGAACTTCCTGACTGTGAGAGCCGTTCAGCAGTGGAACTCTCTGCCCCGGAGTGTGGTGGAGGCTCCTTCTTTGGAAGCTTTGAAGCAGAGGCTGGATGGCCATTTGTCAGGGGTGATTTGAATGCAATATTCCTGCTTCTTGGCAGAATGGGGTTGGACTGGATGGCCCATGAGGTCTCTTCCAACTCTTTGATTCTATGATTCTAGGATTCTATTCTATGATGAACCAACAACAGCAAAACAACAACAATAATATGCTGGGTAAATAATAATACATTTGAAAGAACAACAATATCAATGATATGCTGATGATCCTTTCTGTTGTACTAAACCCTTGAATGAGATCTAGAGCCGAGTCCCTGGTGGAGAATCCGTCCTCGTGTCTCCTGCCAAGAGATAACCCTGAAAGAGGCAGACCTAGTGCCATTGCGCTGAGTGATGGGATGCGTAGTCGTCCTCTGTGGGCCGCTCGACAAATGAGACCGCTGTCCTTTGGCTCCTTGCCTCCTTATCTCTGCTTTCCTCCTGCCTTTCCCTGTCTCATCTTGTTGGAGCGCAAGAGGCTGAGGCTCCCAGGACGAGAGATACTGGGCATCGTTATCCTTCCCGGGCAAAGGACTCTCTTTGGGGAAACCTGTCAGTCGGATCCCTTCTCCCCGGCGGCAAAGGGTTATTAGGGCCTCTCTGGAGCCAGAAAGACAGAAAATTGCCCTTTTCTCCTGTATTTTTCAATTCAAATTTTGAAGCAGGAAAGAACGCAGCAATGCCTAAATAATAATAATAATAATAATAATAATAATAATAATAATAATAGGCACAGTGGCCTATTGTTATTATATTATTGGCGCAGTGGCGCAGTGGGTCAAAGAGGGAAGGAATGAAAGCGGAAGTGAAGGAAGGAGAGAAGGAAGGAAGGAGTGAAAGAACGAAGGAAGGAAAGAGACATAGGAAAGGATGGAGAGAAAGAGAAAGAGGGAAGGAAGGAGAGAATAAGGAAGGAAAGAGAGAGGTAGAGAAGGAAGGAAGAAGAGAAAGAGGTAAAGGGAAGGAAGAAAAAGGGAAAGTAAAAGTGGGGAAGGAAGGAAAAACGGAAAGAATGAATGAAGGAAAGAGACATAGGAAAGGATGGAGAGAAGGAGGGAGGGAAAGAGGGAAGGAAGGAGAGAGAAAAGGGGGGGGGGAGGGATAAGGAAGGAAAGAGGGAAGGAAGAAGAAAAGGAGAGAAGGAAAGGAAGGAAGAAGAAAGAAGAAGGAAGGAGAAGGAGAAAAAGAAGAAGGAAAAAGAGGAAGGAGAAAGGGAAGAAGGAAGGAAGGAGAGAAGGAAAGGAATTGACAAGAAGGGCGAAAGGAAGGGAAAGAGGGAGGAAAAGAGGGAGGAAGGAGGGAGAAAGAGGAGAAGGAAGGGAAGAGAAAAGAGACTGAATAGAAGAGAGAAAGAGGGAAGAAGGGAAGAGAGAAAAGAGGTTGGAAAGAGAGAGAAAATGGAAGTAAAGAGAATGAAAAGAGAAGAGAATGAAGAGAAAGAGGGATGAAAGAGGAAAATGAAGGGAGGAGAGAAAAGAGGAGAAAATGGAATGAAGGGAAAAGAAAAGGAAGGGAGGAGGAAGAATGGAAGAAAAGAATGAAGGGAGGAGAAAAGACAATTGAAGAGAAGGGAAAGGGAAGGAAGGAGAGAAGGAAGGAAAGAAGGAAGGAAGGAAAGAATGAAGGGAAGAACAAGACATAGGAAAGAATGGAGAAAAGGAGGGAGGGAAAGAGGGAAGGAAGGAGAGAAGAAAGGAAGGAAAGAGAGGTAGAGAAGGAAGGAAGAAGAGAAAGAGGTAGAGAAGGAAGGAAGTGAGATAAAGAAGAAGGGAAAGTAGAAGTGGGGAAGGAAGAAAAAAGGGAAAGAAGGAAGGAGAAAAGGAAAGAAAAATGAGGGAAGGAATGAAAGTGGGAGGGAAAGAAGGAGAGAAGGAGGGAAAGAAGGGAGAGAAAGAATGAAGGGAGGAACGAGACATAGGAAAGGATGGAGAAAAGAAGAGAGGGAAAGAGGGAAGGAAGGAGAGAAGAAAGGAAGGAAAGAGAGAGTTAGAGAAAGAAGAGAAAGATAGAGAAGGAAGGAAGAAGAGAAAGAAGAAGGGACAGAAAAAAAGGATGATAAGGAAGGAAAGAGGGAGGGAAGGAAGGAGAGAAAGAAAGGAGGAGAGAAAGAGGGAGGGAATAAATCAGAAATAGATGTTTTCCTGACCCTCCCTGCCTTCCTCCTCCAGCTTGTACATCTTGCAACTCTTGCTCCATGTATTAATAATAAGTAATAATAAATAGTATGTAACATTTACGTAACTACACTCTTTCTCTCTCTACTCTGTAAATCTAAAATACATGCATATATTTATTAGTATTAATAATAAATAATAATAATAACAATTCTCTTTCTTCTCTTAACAAGGCTCCATACATCCATACACGAACAACATTTGCATAGCTAACGACACAATCTCTCTCTCTGTCCTAAATGTAAATATATAATACGTATATATTATTAATAACAATTAATAAGTAATCATCATCATTCAATCTCTTAATGAGACTCAGATGCCTATCCATAAAATAAACATCTTTGAACAACATTTGCATAACTAGCGACACAATTTCTCCCTCTACTCTAAATGTAAATATAAAATACATATATATTATTAATTGATATTAATTAACAATAATAATCCTGTCTCTTAATGAGACTCAGATGCCTATTCATACATACTTGAACAACGTTTACATAATTAACTACGTGATTCCTCTCTCTACTTTGAATATAAATCTAATATATGTATATATATATATATATATATATATATATATATAATTAATTATTATTATTAAATAATAATAATCGTTCAATTTCTTCTCTTAATGAGGCTCAGATGCCTATCGTACATAAACGTACTTGAACAACGTTTACATAAATAATTCTCTCTAAAAATCTAATATATATATACATACATACATACTATTAGTAATAATTAATAATAATAATTTCCTTCCGTCTCTTAATGACACTTAGATACTTATCCATACATAAACATATTTGAACATTTACATGCCATATCATTTCTAACTAAACATAAATATGAAGTAGGCATTAGTTTTAAGAGACTCTTGTTGGTATTTTCATCTTTTTTTCATTGTTGAGAATGAATGCAGTTCACTTGAGCTGTCGCAGCTCCATGTCATGAAATCC